CTCCACCCCCCCACCCCTGCTATTTACTGTCAGCCGCTCTCCAGCAGAAGAGGGAGGCAGCCCTTATGCATAAACATCTCTTCTGCTCTTACACTCCAGCTACGGGCATGGTGGGGTTTTTTTCCCCTTAAAATCAATCTTCTTTCATGTGTGTGTGTCAGCATGATGTGCCTGGCTTTTACCGGGCAATCTTCTCCTGCAGACTTGTACAGCACCTCCCGTTTATTCTGAACTATGAGCAGATAGAGAGATAAACATCCAGCTCTCCAGATCTGTAGAAGCTGTCCATCTATAGGCAGATATTGTATAGGAGTCTGGATGGCTGGGTATACATCTTGCCTTGGGAAAAGCCCTCCTTCTCCAAGAACCCTCTCATAGCATGGGTGCTGTAGGGGGGCACTGGATGGGGCTGGACCTGCCACCACTGCTCTCCAGCTCATCGCTGCTCACTGCAGTGTGGCTCCTCTTCAGCCCCCCTTTCCCAGCCATTTCCAGCGTCAGGGCTCTGTCACACCCGGGCTGGATGGCAGCAAGCGGGTGGAAATGGGTGCTCTTCCCATCACATGAAAACCGGGGGCATGGGGACCAAATGAGTGTTAGACTGTGAGGGGATGCAAAGTGGCCGGAACAGGTGGCTCGTGGTCCTCAGGGTGCAGCAGCAGCGGTGGTGAAGAGATATTTGCCCGTGTTGAAAAAGCCTCTGTGGGTGGGGTGGAGGCGGTTGCTGTCCTGCACACCCAGATCACAACGGGGACCCTGTGGGTGAACCCCTGAGCCACCCCAGAAGCCTGGCCCTTGGGGGATGGGGTAGCCACGGGGAGACATGAGCCGTGTCAGGGGCTGCAGGATGCTGTCCTGGAGGGAGCAAGGGGCAGGCAGGGAGCATGGCCTGAAAAATAGGGTGCAGAAGGGAAAATAGCGGGGTGTATGTGTGTGTGCGTGCGCACGCATGGCCCGGCTGTGGGTTTTGCTATCCCAGAGGGTTTTATTGAAGGTTTGCAAAGGAAGATGTGCAGGGACACTGGCAAGGCAAGGGGTGGCAGCTCATCACTCCGCAAAGCACCAGCATGAGCCACCGCGGGGCTTCGCTAGCCACACCGGCCAGGTGGGAGCACCGCAGGGGTGAGGGTGCTGCGGTGGCTGACACTGCTCTCCATCTCTCCTCTCTCTCTTCCCCTCCTGCCCAGAAATCCCCCAGTGCGCCGGCTGCAACCAGCACATCCTGGACAAGTTCATCCTCAAGGTGCTGGACCGGCACTGGCACAGCTCCTGCCTCAAGTGTGCCGACTGCCAGATGCAGCTGGCCGACCGCTGCTTCTCCCGGGCCGGCAGTGTCTACTGCAAGGAGGACTTTTTCAAGTGAGTACCACTCGGGGGCACAGCCCCACTGAAGGCGGAGTCTCCCCGCCTGCAAAGTAGCCACTGAACCTATTTTTAAGCGTGATTTCTCCGAAATCTTGATTTTGTTGTTGTTGTTGTGGAAATAAAGGAAACGTTGGTGCTTTACAGCTGCCACAGGCTGGATGCTGTTTGTTGGGTTGTAACCTCCTGAAATCCCCAAATCTCCCTGGTGCTCCTGTCTCTCCCCAGGGCTGGTTTTCAACCCCCGAGGGACGGGGACCCGGTCGGCAGCAGCCCCGGCTCCGCTCAGAGCTAGAGGGCAGGAGAAACCCACGCAACGCAGTGGCAGTGCTGCCTGCTCCTGCCCGAGCCTGGGCTTTGCTGATGCCGTTTACCTTCGTCTTTTTACCTTTTTTTTTTTTTTTTTTTTTTAAAAATCCTTTTTTTCTTTGCTCCTAGTAGCATGAAAACCTCATTTGATTTTGTGACAGCTGCCTCTGAGCTCTGAGATGATCCAGCCTCGGCGTCTCCCTGCTCCCACAGGACAGGACAACACTTTACCCATTAAAAATGGACTTTTCATCAGGGATGCTCTAGTCCCTGGCTGCTGGTGAAATATGGTCGTTTTCCCAAGGGATGTCAGAGTGTGTTGCACCAGGGCCAGGCACAGCTCTGCTGGCTGTGAATCGCCATGAAGTGGAGGGGTGCTGCTTTACACCTCCTGCAGGGAGGAGGGCTGGATCCTGGCCAGCGGGTGCCTTTTGCTGCCCAAGTGCAGGTGATGAGGCCTGGTTGAAAAGCAGCTGCTGCACCTCGGGGACTGGGATCACCTCCCTGTGCCATTGTCTCCTGCTCATCCCCAGCTGCACTGGTTCTCCCTATCACACCCTCAGCCTCTGGCTCACGGGCTAAACCAACCTATGGCAATTATGTCCCATGCTAATCCCGGGGCCAGACTTTCCCTGCCTGCCCATCCTGGGTCTCTCAGGCCTCCTACATGCCCACCCCCCAGCCATCAGGGACAAAGATGCAGCTTGAATTTCTCCTTCTCAGCTGGGGAGCGTGCGACGGTCAAAGCAGCCGCTACAGCCTGGGTAATAACACTTCACTTCTGATATTTTCCAGCCTATTAATCTCCAAGTCATTTAAATAGTTGCCCAAAAGGTGCAGGTAATCAATGTTAATTAGAGTTGAAAGATCAGCGACTTTCTTAGATGAGGTCCTGCCTGGATTATTTGGTGCCAATCAATAGCATCTCAGCATTCGCTCGGGCTCTCGCCTCACCTTTATTTCAACCGCTCATTGATTTTGGGATAGATAACCTGCAGAGGACGTGAGGATTTAAGGCCAACTTCAGAGACGGGTTTGCAACTCAGAAGCTGTTTCCAAAAAGACCAGATTTTTTGATTTTCATATTTTTTTCCTTCTCCCAAATCACAGCTCTTGGTCCCTGGCCTCAGGCAGCTCTGTCCTGCGTCTGGCCATCCCCAGGTGGTGGGGAAAAACCCTGAGATGCTGAGAGGGAAGGAGTGTAAAATGGCTTTAAGTGTTCTTTGAGGGGGGGTATGGATGGACAGAGGAGCAAGAGGTGCTGCAAAGCGTGCACCGGCTCAACCTTGGGCACAGAAAAGCATCATTTGTCTGTCTGTCCTATCGCTCCCTCCCTCCCTCCATCTCCCATCCCATCCCATCCCATCCCTCCCTCCCTCCCAGCTGACTCCGGGAGAGATGAAGTCTACCCAGCAGGTGTCAGAGGACTGGCCCTTTAGGCTACAAGCCCAGGAAACGAGACAAAACAGGTTTTCCCTCTTCACCTTCTGCTTCCAACAACCCTGTGGGCAGCTGCCGAAATCACACCAGTGCCACTCATACCCAGTGCCCACCGCCTGTCCCTGGGTGACACCAGTGTGGCTTGGGGACAGTCTTGGGGACTCAGCTTTGGTGGCTGTGCCTTGGATTTCTGAACGGTGTGAGGGCACAGGCAGCCATGGGGCTTGCAGAATGATTTTGCATGATCAGGGGATGTTCAGCCCTCGGGGGGGCAGTGGGAGGTGCCTGGGGTGCCTATGCACCCTGGACACCCCAGAATGCCACCATGCACCCCTGCAGCCTTGGGGCTGTGGGCCAAAGGGCTTGATTTTTTCCTGGGCTGTTTTCTTTGAAGCAAAGAGTGCTGTTCAAGGTGTAGGGAACAGTTCTGATGGCTTTGCTGCCTGGGCTGCTGCTGCAACTCCAGGATGGCTCCATGGGGTCCCAGTGCCCTGCTGATGGGGTGTTTATGGGTGCTGGGAGGGAGCAGGGGAGACCCAGCAGAGCATTTGTGGTGCTGGTGGGAGGCAGGAATCTGACCCATGTCAATCCCAAAGCCCACATGGCCGATGCTGAAAACACCAGTGGCAACGTCCACTTATTTTTTGACGTTCTTCTGTGCTGCCACCACCTCGTGCCCTTTATTTAATTTACAGTGGGTGTTATGTGGGTGTTAGCCTTCGTGTCTGTGTAGGGCAACCGCACCCTGCCACAGCCCGGGATACACACACACGGGTGCAGCAGAGAGCCTGCGGTCGGCAGGGGCTGCTGGGTGACTCACATACTCCTTGCACACTCCTGGTACGATCCTTGCATTCTTCTGCCACACTACTTTCTTGCAGGCACCATCCACACTTCCTGCACCATTCTTACATGTTCCTTGTGTGCTTCTTCCATGCTTTTGGCACCATTCTTGCACGCTCCTTCCACGTTTCCTGTCCCATTCTTGCATGCTGCTTCCACACTTCTCGCATGCTCCTTGCATGCTCCTTGCAGCCATGCTGTGAGCTTTCTTGGGCCTACGTCTACTCCAAGCCAGCACACCCAATGCAGCCGTCGGGCTGTCATTACAGTGTAAGAGCCCCATCATTCTGCATTAATCTGGGATTCATCATGCTAGCAGGGTGGTGTAATTAATTTATTTGGTATTAATGTGGGTGAAATATGTACTGTCCTTGCAGGGGAAATTCAGGCAGCCTATAAGCATTAGTTAAAAGAACCATTAAAATCAAACCTTCCTCAGCTCCATTAAGCTGGTCTTTCACACTGAAGAAGATAAACCCCTGCCGTGTGAAGTGTCATGCATAATTAGGTTGATCGCTGGTTTAAACTCTGCCCTGTCTCCTGGTCCCCACCCCATCTCAGGGCAAAGCCCACCTCACTGTGGGGCTCAGGATCTCCCACTTCTCCTTGCAGGCGTTTTGGGACCAAATGCACGGCATGCCAGCAGGGTATCCCCCCGACCCAGGTGGTCCGCAAAGCCCAGGATTTCGTCTACCACCTCCACTGCTTCGCCTGCATCATCTGCAGCCGGCAGCTGGCCACGGGCGACGAGTTCTACCTGATGGAGGACGGGCGGCTGGTCTGCAAGGAGGACTACGAGACTGCCAAGCAGAACGGTAGGCACCCCGAAAGGCCTGTGAGGCAGGGCCTCACACTGAAGCGTGGCTGTGGATCATGCCACTGGTATTGTACCTGTGGGAGGGCGTTGCTGAGGGCTCTGGGGCAGCTGGTTTTGGGGAGCTTTTCCCCAGTGGCATGCGCTGGCAATTCAGGGTTGCTCACGCTGATGTGGTTGGGGCTGGTATCGGCTCCTTCGCTTGCAGATGACTCCGAGGCGGGTGCTAAGCGGCCCCGGACCACCATCACGGCCAAGCAGCTGGAGACACTGAAGAACGCCTACAAAAACTCCCCCAAACCCGCCCGGCACGTGCGGGAGCAGCTCTCCTCTGAGACGGGGCTTGACATGAGGGTAGTGCAGGTGAGGCCATGGGCTGTCTCTT